CTTGAATCCTTCACTGAACTGAATACGTTATTGAATCAACATCTGATTCACTTACTGATCTGCAAGTTAACACCATTTTCAGTGATGTCTGTATCAAAACTAATAAATGTTTTCATAAATGAAGGAATAGGCCTATTCCTATAGGCCTGTATTCCTCCTTGATAAACTGACATTTGATCAAACTTTATTTTGGGCAAAAAAGAAATTGTAATTTGTGTTAAATTGGATACAAATAATTTTCATTTTGCTGACCAATATAATATATTCTGGCTTCAAACTAGCTCAATTGACTGTGATTCACTGCAACCCCCACTGGTGTGATGTGGAGTGTTTACTGAAAGTCTTTTACAGTAAGTTTCTGCTCTACATCATTGTAGTCAAACATAAAAGAGCAATCCAACCACTCACTGTCTCCCGACCACCCAATCACAAAACACATCCCTCTTTTGTCAGGCAATTTCCTTCGGGATGTTGAAAACTTCCCTGCCTGATTAAAGAACAAAAGGAAATGGTGACTTATTTTTAGATGTGGAATGGGTTCCCGCAAAGATGAGTTTAATCAATTGTAATTAATTCTCCTGGTTATGAGCAGTGGAGCCTGACGAGTCAAAGAAGGGGTTGAGGATATTGAACTCCATTGAAAACCCATTAACACCTAATAGGTGAGAGGAAGTGGAAAAACTATGGTGAGATATGAAAGGGGACTAATGTGAGAATCTAAATTGCTGTTCTTCTTAGACAGATCTGGAACTTGAAGCCTCACCTTTGCTCACGCCTTCATCAAGAATGATTGTTCTAGATGAGAAAGAGAGGTTAATAGACTAATGCTTACAGTGCCTCCGTCTTCAGGTTGGTCTCATTCTGTCAGTCTGTCGTCTGCTTTGAAAACTCTGGACAGCGCAGGCTCAGCTAATTATCAAACATTTATTCTGTCTTTCAGGCTGAACAAAGACGAGTCGGTCCACACGGTCCACACACACCACCTTCAAAAACATCCTGACCTTGCCTTCACTTTACTTTTCATTAATTCGTTTTGTTTCAAAATGGGAGGGATGCAGACAGACAATAGCACTTGAGAAATAATTAGGAACTCTCAAAGATGCTAATCAGATTCCATATGAAGTGTCTGTAATAACTCTGGGCTTACAGCAGTATTTCACAAACATCCCACTGAAAAGGAATGACTGCTAAGGGCAGGTGTGAGGTGCTGCATATCAACTTGAGAGCAATGGACTGGTTCTGAAGTTTTTGAGAAACAAGCAATTGATGGCATCTCATCAAAAAGTTCTCTAAAGCTCTTCTCTGCTCCCACACAACACTCCCTGAACTTCTAACGTCACTCTGAAAATATGTTGACTTCAGTGGCATTCCGTTTCCTCCCCATACAAGTGAATGATATTGACATTACTACTAATCATAAAGGATTATTTTTTATAAATGAAGCAAGGGTTGTAAGAGTTACATATTCTCATAAATTATTCATTTTGCAGTCAAAAGCATCACAAAACACAAATTATTGACTAAAATAAATGCATTATATACATACCGTTAAATAATTTAAAATGACAATTATTAAATAGTCAATTGACTATGTAAATAGTCAATTATTATTTGTTTAAATTAGCTAACTCAACATGTACATAGCCTCTTCCTCTGAACTTTGAACTTTTTTTGTATTTTCAATTTTTTTTTTTAAAGCTATTTATATTATTTATTAATTAATTAGTATTTTTTTGTATTTTACCACCAATGCTATTTTAAAATTAGCTATCTGAGTCCGGAAGATAACGTAAGGAGCAAGATGTAACGAAGATGTTACATGGGGAGAGTTGTAACCACCAATTCCACCAATCAGGGATAAGGAGTCTTATGATAATTTCAGTGTTTACCCACTTTCTCCCAAATGAATGGTTATCAAGGCTGGAAATATAGGCACATGCAGTGCCTAGCAAAGCAATTGGTGAGGATTTTAAGACCTTAGACAACTTTTGTGCTGTTTATATGGAGCCATTTGCAGCTTACAGTAAATCCAAAGGAAATGTGATGTGTGCTATTCAGTCTCTGGGCCCACCAAGCCTGCATGCACTATAGGTTAAAAACATTCATTTGTCTCTATGGGACTCTGATTGAGAATATTCACACATATTACGTTATATTCTAACAGGGTTTTTACATTTTCTTTACTCAGGTACACTGGAGTCAAGTGTTCATTAAGCATAATACTTTTAAGAAGTTTGTTCTAGTAGACTAATTTACACACATGCACACAATCCTGAGTCAAGTGGATACTTTGAATAAAGCTCAAAAAAATTCAGTGAGTTACAGAGGCTGAAGCAAAAGGTGTTACAACCATACCCGTTCTCCCCCTATTTATATTATTAATTCATTTGTTATTGGGTTTGAAAAAGTTAATATTGACCTGAATGTGACCTGAAACCACAATTTTTAAATGGTTTATCAATAATTAATGAATTAGTTCATTTGTTTTGTTTTTTACAAACTTGTTAGACCCCGTCCTATTCAAGATAGATAGATAGATAGATAGATAGATAGATAGATAGATAGATAGATAGATAGATAGATAGATAGATAGATAGATAGATAGATAGATAGATAGATAGATAGATAGATAGATAGATAGATAGATAGATAGATAGATAGATAGATAGATAGATAGATAGATAGATAGATAGATAGATAGATAGATAGATAGATAGATAGATAGATAGATAGATAGATAGATAGATAGATAGATAGATTGAAAGAAAGTACATTGTGTGCCCATTGATGGGCTTTAGGGGGTTCACGCCCTTTGCAATGCCTGCTATGGAACATGAAAGGTCAAGAGGAAAATTGTTGCCTCCCTTTTCATGACATTATTTTAAGCCTTTTATTCATATAACAAGAATACAGGGAAAGTAGGGGAATAAGAAATTACTCAGTCTGGGTCTTATCATAAGCACTTGTGCTACCTCCTGCTGTGTTACTTTTTTTTTCTTTGTTTTCAACAGCTTGCATGTTCCTGTCTTTGAGATAGCCTATCCGAGCGAATATAAAATAGAATTATATTGATATATGGATAAAGCTTGAAAGAGACAGAATAATCAGGGACAGACTCAATACTTGTGAGAGGGCCTTTGAATGTTGTATCTGGCATCAAAGACATGCTTTAAAAGATGGATAACCAGACACACACGCTTTTAAAGATGGATAACACTCTGTCAATTATGTCTTTTTTATTTATTTTTCTTTTTTATATATTTTTATCTGATGGACCGATGGAGAGATTTGTTAACCGATCTGAAATGACTTTGAATCATAAATCTGTGTTCTGTGAGCGCCATCTAGTGGTGGGATGGTCTTTAACTTAGGCGCCAAAGGACTTGCCAAGTCACAGAAGGTCCTGGCCAATTTAATACACTATAAAAGGTTTTATACTTGGTAAAGGGTATATCCTACAGATTCTAATTAAAATGTCCTCTTTATATTCCGTTGAAATACACATGAATCATCAGAATTAAAGGGAACAGCTCTGGCCTCTTTTCTTTACGATAACTGACACAGCTGATCAGTGGCACAAACGGGGTGTTAAATCACCATATAGCTCTCTCTTAATGAAATATTAATTCAATCTCCTTCCTCGTCTCACTCATTCACATCTTTGAGGTCACCAGTCCACATAAATCAAAACCTCTCCTCAGATTCTTTTTTTCCCCCGGCCCATTAATGCGTCAGCTTAATTCTCTTTCTTTTCATGCATAAAGGACAGATTTGTCCACTGTGGACTTCTGACAAACCTCTTCTCTCATAATGTCCTGACAGGTACCCGTGATTGATGACACCTTTAATGACTAAGCAACAGAGGGATTTACTGTCCTATTAATGCTTTATTAAAATGCATTACACCTGTGCAAGAGTGGCTTGTTTCAAAGAAATGAATCTTGGGTCTGAAATGAAAACTGAAATTAATCAACGTGTGACATTTACTTAAAGGGAAATTTTGGACAAAATTTTGGACATTTTGTCCTCGTGTAGTAGCACTGATTTGTATGTTAATGCTGTAGTAAGGATATTTTTTAATTTCTTTTACACAGAAATACTCTCTATTACTTGTCAAATAATAGCTTAAACTCACCATACTTCATAAAACGTATTAGAAATGAATCTATAATTATATATATTCACAGTCCTTGCAACCTTCACAAGAGGCTATTATATTTTGCATTCTATGAAACTGTATTGTATTACTAAAAGTGCTTTATAAATAGAATAGACTAGACTAGACTAGAATAGAATAGAATAGAATAGAATAGAATAGAATAGAATAGAATAGAATAGAATATTAAAATGCTCGGTTATCATGTTCCACATTTATAAGGGTAAATATTAACTGTTGGTCATTCATGTTTTTCATAATGATACTTATTTTCAACAGTTGGCCCATAAATGTTTTTTTATTATTATTATAGTGGAAAAAGGTTTGTGGTAAAATGTATTAAATACAAAGTGGCATTTCAAACATTGGTTATAAATAATATGTTGTGTGCATTATAACATGTTACATGGCAACATATTGATAATCCATACTAAAAAAAAATCTTATTTTAATATATATATATATATATATATATATATATATATATATATATATATATATATATATATATATATATATATATATATATATATAGCCTATATAACATACAAAATTAAACAGAATTTATAGTTCCTGAATGCTTTGAAAGTTGTTGAATGATATGAATATATATATTATAATCTTAAATGTTTCTTAAAATTGCCTAATAAAATTGAATTCTAAAATGAATAATTTAGTGTAATATTATATATAATATATTATACAGTAATTCTATTCCCATATTTATAGGACAGTTCATAAAATATTCCTAAATAAATACTCCAATAGTGTTCTATTTTATTAAAAATACAATGGGAGGGAAATAAGCTTTTATTATGAAAAATGAAAACGCGCTTCCTGACATCGTCATGAAGCGTCACTAACCTGCTGAATTGTTTTTCTGCAGTGTGCGGTCGTCTGACACACAATGAGCAGCTGAAGTTACAGCGAGCATAAAGAACAAGTTTAAGTCAAGTACACTGGAGTGAGTTTGAATGATTTAAACCTGTAATTCTGTTTATATAAGACGAGGGTGAACCATGTTGTTGTTGTTATGTTAACTGATCATCTGTCTGTCTGTTCCAACAGCATGTCAGACCCTAAAACAGCTGGAGCTGATGCTGGATCAGTGGTGTCAGACCCTCAACACTCCCAAAAGCTTTTAAGGGTCCTTCTGTCTTTAAGACAAGATGATTGTTTTCAAGATGCAGTGCTGGTTTTGGAAGGTGAACAGATTCCTGTTCAGAAAAACATTCTGGCTGCTGCTAGCCCATACATCAGGTATGAGAATAAGCTTGAAACTAGGATACATTTGCATGAAATGAGATCAGATCAGATCAGTAGAGCTGGTATGTTTGCTCAGACATGTAACAGACCCTTGAGCAATGTGTCATATGGGTGTGCCACACAGCCCCACCTTGCCTGTTGCATGGGTCAATTAAAGCAATACTTCACCCAAAAAAAACAGAAGAGAAATGTCATTTGCACACCCTCATTTCAACTACCAGCAAGTAAGACTTCTGCTGAACTTGAAAGGGGAGATTTTGATAAATATCCCGCACAGTCTTTTTTAAAACTAAACACGACTAAACACCCAGAAGGACACAAAATCACAAGAATGGTAAAACAAGAATGGTAAAAAGGGTTATGTATTATTATTTATTTTTTGTAGCTTTTCTTGGAACATCCATGTGATTTTATGAACGTGCCAATATTAATTTAGTACTAAAATAATGAAAACTATTAACTAAAACCTAATAATAACTATATAGACATATTTTAAAAAAATTATAATAAAAATGACTAAAACGCATGACAAAATAACTAAAACTATATCTAAAATTAAAACAGAAAATATAAAAGTAAAATCTAATTCAAAATATTAACAAAAACTATAATGATATATCAATGATAATATTACTAGGCTACTATGAACTTTGAGATCCATGAATTATTCGATTCATGAACTTTTCATTTGAAGCCATTTTTTCAAGGTCCCTTTTCTCATATTGGATCCACATTTTTTTGTCCGTTGACAATTCTGTTACAAAATTTTAAAAAAAATTCTGTCATATTTTAAAAGAACATTTTAATATAAGCAAATAGTTTAACAAGATCAAAAAAACTAATCAGCCAAAACTGGAAAATTTGTGAAACCTCTGTTGGGCATTTGATGGAGTGCAACTCTCCAAGATATTAAGTCGGTCCTTTTATTAGATCCACAGTGAATGAACTCATGTTGCTACATGTTTGCAGGACCAAATTAAATTACAACCCACCTAAGGAGGATGGATCTGTATACAAAATCGAGTTGCAAGGGATCTCGATCACGACCATGAAGCAAATATTGGACTACATTTTCAGTGGGGAGGTAATTATATTACTTTACTTATACTATATGCATGTTACCAGTCATTAAATACCTGAAGTTTTACAATTAGGATTTCTAGGCCTGGAAAAGTCTTATTAAAACTTAAAAACTTATTTTAGATTTTATGGCAGATTTCTCATTTGAGTGCCATTACTTTGAAAGGATTTTTAAAAATCATTATAAAACAGTTAATTACTTTAGAATCAATTATAAGTACAAGCAACTGGAAAGGTTATGGAAAAGTAATAGAAATTCATTAGTAGGGTTAATTTCGTTAACTAAAACTTTTTTCCATGATTAAGACAATACAAAAAAAAAACATCATTGTTGATGAAAAAAAAGGCAAGAATAAAATGTAGTTACAAATAAAATAAAAACTTAAACAAAATCTTTATATTTTCTTCAACAAAAAAGTGCAGAAATGATATTTTAAGGAATTAAAAGCCTCTATGAGCTTTCATGCTTAGGGTTGCCTGATGTCAAGTGACATAATTGTGATCATCAGTTTAACCATTATACCCCATGACTTATTTATGATAACATTTTCATTGACTAAAACTAGACCAAATTTCCCAGACTTTTAGACAACTAAAACTTGACTACACAAAATACTGGATGCTGTAGGTTGACTAAATATGATAAAAGCTAAAAAAGTAACTTTGACATGGGACTAAGACTAACAAAAAAAAAAAAAAAGACAAAATTAACACTATTCATTAGTTAAAAGCTGTGGGAAAACTGTATATAAATTATTAATGTATGTCACAAACTATTGGATTTCCATTGTCATATTGTCAATGCTTCTCTAGCTGGCTGATTGTTGAGATTGTTGTCAATACTTTTCTCTTTTCTAGATTACTCTAAGTGAAGACACTATCCAGGATGTGGTCCAGGCTGCTGATCTTCTTCTCCTCACTGATCTTAAATCTCTGTGCTGTCAGTTCCTGGAAAGCTGCATTACTGCAGAGAACTGCATCGGCATTCGGGTCTTCTCTTTGCATTACTGCCTGCACCACGTCTACCACGTGGCCACAGAGTTCCTGCAGACGCATTTTCGAGACGTGGCCAACACAGATGAGTTCCTGGAGCAGCCGCCCGATCGCCTGTGTGAGCTGCTGTCCATAGAGAAGCTCAACGTGGGGAATGAAAAGCATGTGCTGGAGGCCGTGGTCCGCTGGCTCGACCATGACATTGAAGCTCGGCGAGTGAGTGGATCGGTTGTTTCTGGAGAGTTCCATGCACATGTTCCATGTTTGTCTATGCACAGGCATAGACAAACTTTAAACATAAATAAATACTTAATTAATTATTTAATCATTTTCATTCATATATATATATATATATATATATATATATATATGTGTGTGTATATATATATATATATATATATATTGGAAAGTAAGTTACTAATGCTGAATTTATGGATTTATTATTGTAAATGAGAATCATATTTAGGTCATGATTGTCAGTTGTTTGTGAATTAAATCTGCTGTAAAATGGCAAGCTGTTTAAGCCCACAGTATGATATAGATTTAGAAAAATGTAAGTGTCAACACACAAAAGTTTATATATATATATACACTCACCTAAAGGATTATTAGGAACACCTGTTTAATTTCTCATTAATGCAATTATCTAATCAACCAATCACATGGCAGTTGCTTCAATGCATTTGGGGGTGTGGTCCTGGTCAAGACAATCTCCTGAACTCCAAACTGAATGTCAGAATAGGAAAGAAAGGTGATTTAAGCAATTTTGAGCGTGGCATGGTTGTTGGTGCCAGACGGGCCGGTCTGAGTATTTCACAATCTGCTCAGTTACTGGGATTTTCACGCACAACCATTTCTAGGGTTTACAGAGAATGGTGTGAAAAGGGAAAAACATCCAGTATGCGGCAGTCCTGTGGGCGAAAATGCCTTGTTGATGCTAGAGGTCAGAGGAGAATGGGCCGACTGATTCAAGCTGATAGAAGGGCAACTTTGACTGAAATAACCACTCGTTACAACCGAGGTATGCAGCAAAGCATTTGTGAAGCCACAACACGCACAACCTTGAGGCGGATGGGCTACAACAGCAGAAGACCCCACCGGGTACCACTCATCTTCACTACAAATAGGAAAAAGAGGCTACAATTTGCAAGAGCTCACCAAAATTGGACAGTTGAAGACTGGAAAAATGTTGCCTGGTCTGATGAGTCTCGATTTCTGTTGAGACATTCAGATGGTAGAGTCAGAATTTGGCGTAAACAGAATGAGAACATGGATCCATCATGCCTTGTTACCACTGTGCAGGCTGGTGGTGGTGGTGTAATGGTGTGGGGGATGTTTTCTTGGCACACTTTAGGCCCCTTAGTGCCAATTGGGCATCGTTTAAATGCCACGGCCTACCTGAGCATTGTTTCTGATCATGTCCATCCCTTTATGGCCACCATGTACCCATCCTCTGATGGCTACTTCCAGCAGGATAATGCACCATGTCACAAAGCTCGAATCATTTCAAATTGGTTTCTTGAACATGACAATGAGTTCACTGTACTAAAATGGCCCCCACAGTCACCAGATCTCAACCCATTAGAGCATCTTTGGGATGTGGTGGAACGGGAGCTTCGTGCCCTGGATGTGCATCCCACAAATCTCCATCAACTGCAAGATGCTATCCTATGAATATGGGCCAACATTTCTAAAGAATGCTTTTAGCACCTTGTTGAATCAATGCCACGTAGAATTAAGGCAGTTCTGAAGGCGAAAGGGGGTCAAACACAGTATTAGTATGATGTTCCTAATAATCCTTTAGGTGAGTGTATATTTGCATTCAGGTCAGATCTACATGTATTAATTAATTAATTCATTATTTTTAATCATAATTAGATATTATAGCGTTATGATTAAAAATAATCTCATTATGATTGAAAATAATGAATCAATTAATACATTTAGACCGGAATACCGATGATAATTACAATATAAAAGTATATTTTTAAAAAACATACAGCAGTTATTTGTAGGGATGTACCGATATGAAAATTTTGGCCGATACGATAACCGATAATTCTTTATATTTGAAAGCCGATAACCGATATATTGGCCAATAAATCTAATTCCAAATTTTGAAATCATTTTTGAGAGCCTGATTACAAAAACAAAAGTCTCACCATTTAAAGCCATGTCCGAAGCACACAATTATACTGATGTTCTCATAACTTTATGTTGCCTATATGTCAGACTTGCACTGCTCATGTTGCACTGAACCGTATTTTCCTGTTTTGAAGTGATTCCAATCATATTTCAAGCAATTCAAAACCATCATGGCGAACAGTGTGCATCTGAAGTGTCTCAGCTAAAGGCAATAGTCCCTCATTTTTACCGATATGGTGACTGATATATCGTGCATCCCTATTTATTTAAAATAGAAATGTTTTGTAACATTATAAAAAAAAATTATTGTCATTTTTGATCAATTTATTTAAATACATCTTTGCTGAATAAAAGTATTAATTTATTTACAAAAACAATCTTACTGACCCCAAACCTTTGGATGGTATTATTTGTTCGTTTGTTTGTTTTTATTCAGTCCTGTTTAAATAGGATGCCTTTTTTTTCCAGGTCCATATGAAAGAAGTGATGTCTGCGGTCTGGGTTCAAGGCCTGGACCAGTGCTACCTCCAGGAGCAGATGCTCGGAGACTCCCTGATGAGGGAGGTCATAAGGAATTGTTGTATGGACTCGCTGCGAGGAGCAATGCAGCACGGGGAGGCGCTGCTTGCTGCATTTAAACCCCGTGGCTACTCCGAGTGTATCGTCACAGTAGGCGGTGAGGAGAGGACGTGAGTATGAACATGCTTTAAAAATAAAACTAGATCATGAGATTATGCAAGGATAGGTTTGTAAGAAGTTTTCCCCCTGAATCCCTTTGTGTTTCTGATGTAGCTCTCGGAAGCCCACGGCAGCGGCTCGCTGCATGTGTCCACTTTATGACCGAAACAGGCAGCTCTGGATTGACCTGAAGCCAATGAATGAGAGGCGAATTGGTCACGGGGTTGTGTCAGCAGGTTTGTACTAGCTCAGCGTTGTGAGGGAATAGAGCTTACACTGTTCTGTTATTTGTTTAGTTATTTAGTTTTAGTTATCGGAACTCTTAAGACTTATGATTATGAATAATGACACAATTGTAAACAAAATATTCCTGTGATCTATACTACTATTTAAAAGTTTGGGGTCAGTGGTAAGTTTTTTATTTGTTTGTTTGTTTGTTTATTTATTTTTAAATAAATGGATACTTTTATTCAGCAGGGATGCATTAAATTGACCAAAAGTGACAGTAAAGACATTTATATTGATACAAAATCAAATAAATGCTGTTTTGTTTTACTTTCTGTTCATCAGAAAAATGCATCACTGGTTTCACAAAAATATTAAGCAGCACAAACTGTTTCAAAAATGATGATAATAATAAGAAATGTTTTTGAATGACTTTTGAAGGATCATGTGACACTGAAGACTCTGGAGTAATGGCTGCTGGAAATTCAGCTTTGAAATGACAGGTTTTGACTGTATTTTTGATCAATTAAAAGCAGTCTTTGTCAACATAAGAGACTTCTTTTAAAAATTCATTTTCAGTCATTTTCAGTCATTAACTTATACAGACGAAATAAACCCCATAGCTTAAATGTTCCTGATTCCGTCTGCTATTTGTTGTAGCATACAGTCTGGAAAAGATGTAGAACACCCTTGTGTCTTGTGTTTAGTGCATCCACAGCAATATAAATCCATCATATGCTCTCCTTAGCATTTTCAAAAAAATAAAACTGTAAATGGTATTAGAATGGTATTAGGTATTAGACTTCTGACTTGTTTCGCAGAGTTCATCCCGAGGATTATTATGCTTCTATTACTTACATATATAATAACTGTTAGTACTTATATATAATTAACTGATAGTCTGCCTGTCCAAACAGAGGGGTTCCTGTTTGCAGTAGGAGGAATGGATGAGAATAAAACTGTCTTGAGCAGTGGAGAGAAATATGACCCAGAGACCAACAGCTGGACCCAAATCCCACCAATGATGCAGGTATTCCTCTTAGAGATATGCTCCATTATTGACTAGTTGGTGGGTTGTCTGAACGCCTAGTTATGTAGTCTGTCTTATGGAAACCCTGTATTAGGCTCATTTATAGTGTGTTCTTCCATTCAAAAAAGGTACTGAGCACAACAGAATTAAACAGAATGTCTTAAGACATGTTTTTACTATTTACATACTTACATTTCTGAATGAATTACTTATCCTCCCATGAAGCATTGTGAATTATGTAAGTGATTAAAAAAACAAAGGGCAATGAAAAAGCAATGGCATTGCTTGTGATGTTCCTCATTTGCAAGTCGCTGTGGATAACAGTGTCTAGTAAATGGGGAAAATTGAATGGCAATGCTACTTTTGGACTAGTAAATTAACCAGCATAGTTTATTTCAGATATTTAAAGATAAATATCCAATTTAAATAAAGGAACCTGTTTACTGATTTCAACTGGTTGAAAATGCTCTATATAACATAATCACATCTTAAAACATGCACTAATGCTTAATTTTTCTCTATATCCTAATAATTTGTTAACAACGTGTATTCTTTACTTCGATGAGCTCATTGTTTCTGCCTTAAATTAATGCATAAATTAACACATTGATAGATAATTGTGTGATTTGTATATACATAATCTATAACATGCATTTTCTGTAAAGCTGCTTTGAAACGATATGTATTGCGCTATACAAATAAATGTGAATTCAGGGTTCCTACTCCGTTTGGAAAAGTACGGAATTTGATTTGAGTAATTTTCAGGTCTGGAAAAGTATGGAAAAAAAGTGTAAAAAAATATTTGTGTTTCCAGACTATTGACCCTATTCAGTTTTCTAAAATAAATAAAAATAATTCTAAAAAATAAATGTTGGCCTATCACACTGGCTTAAAAATATAAATTTCTCTATTTTAATCTATTCTCATTTTTATGATCCAACCTATTTAATTCTTAAATCCAAAGAATTGATTTTAGTCTATGCTGTTTTCAGGTGATGAATAGTAAATCGCAATAAGCTTTGAGCTTTGTTACTTTTGATATGAAACAAAGTCTCAGCTTTCAAACGAAGCAAACAGTTGAGAAAGAAAGAGCATGTGTAACAATAAAATGGATCCGTTCGTCAGGTCTTAAAGTTACAGCAGCCTAATATACCTGCTGCCAAATTATGGGATAATATTTAAAATATCTATATGCCAGTTTTTTCCACATGGTATCGATGTTAAAATTGTGGCCAGTAAAAATGCTGAGTGGCTGTAACTTTGGAAAACCACTACAACCTGTAATAATATAGAAATGTACCAACTGGGGTTCCCTGTATAGTATAGTTTTTTTTTTTTTTTTTTTTTTGACATGTACTGTTCCTGATACCACATTTACAGTATCAAAGTCATGCATCATAGGTGAATATATGCAGGTTATAAAGCTTTTTAGGTTTCTTCTCATCATGTAAGCTCATGTTATCACTTTGAGAAAACAATGAAAAACAGAGAAATTAAAAATATTTACAGATGACTGTACTATTTACTTTGAATAAAGCTGTGTGAACCATTTATGTTAAATATGGTCTAAAAATAGTTTGTAAGGAGATATGGAAATTTGAGTCGGGAAAAGTATGGCATTTTGAAATGAAAAATGTATAGGAACCCTGAGAATTGAAAGATCATTATGATGCCATTCTTACAAGGAACCACTAGGTGTCAGTATTGTAATATTGTATTTTCTTTTCTGCCCAGGCCAGACAGCACTTCGCCATGGCGGAGCTGGATGGGATGATCTATGTTTTGGGTGGAGAGAACGAGGACACTGAGGTCCTTCTCACGATGGAGGTGTTTGACCCCCATTGTAACATCTGGAGAACACAACCAAAAATGACCACAGTGCGCAAGGTGAGATTTAGCTACTTTTTTTATTGCACAAATCCACACACTGCAATACTCATGTTTCTCATACTTTTGCCTCTCTATTCCTCAGTTTGGTAGCTGTGCCACCATGAAAAAGAGACTGTACGTGATGGGCGGCGGATCGTACGGGAAGATTTATGACTCTGTGGAGTGTTACGACCCCAAAACCCAACAGTGGACAACAGTCTGCCCTCTTAAGGAGAGGAGGTAATGAGTACACAAGGTTTACTATTATCTATCAGAAAACACTTGCTTATTTATCTGTTCATGTAATATGGCAATAATTGTATTCATGATCAACAAGTTAACATGATAAAGTCACTATGAAATCAAAATTAACTGTTTTTTATGGAATATTGCCACATTTATTAGCTATAAATGGCTTATCCGTGCAGATTCATATGCCCTTGTCATCTAGAGCCAGTCATATGCAAAAGTATTTGCCCTTGTGACGTCACAGATCCTGCTATATCAAAATGAGCAGTTTTTGGAACTTGATTAAATAAATTCTTTATAATGAGGGGGACTTTTTAAGCTATGAAACTTATGGGATGATTTAATGGTACAAAGACCTCTTATATGTCAAAAGATCAAGGCAAATGTGATTTCTCATGTCATGACCACTTTAACATTTTGTGTAAGGGTCTGTATTTTTATATAACACCAAGTGTTTCACTGTGCCCTAGCAATTTGTTACAAAACATTGATTCAACTGTAAAAGAGGGTGATGTAATTTTTATTACATTTAGGTAACCAGGGTTTCACAAAGCAGAAACTGGAAAAGCAGAAACAGCAGAAATATCATTCAGCATAACTTGGCCCCATGCATTCAATATGCACAAATGCTGGATGCTCAAAGCAGTATGCTTTATAGATGTGCATTTAGAGAGTGAGCATGTGTTAAGTTAGAGAATGTGTTTCCCATCCTGTGTATGACGCAGAGAAATGTCATAAGTTAAACAGATTACATTTTAAAAGGCAAAGACAGCACATTTTCAAAAGGGTCTAACAACTATGAAAACTGAGAGACGCCCTACGATCTGTGATGTCTTACAGATGTGTCTTTAGTACAATAGTAGTCAAGGGACCTATCAGTCTAACCCATATAACTGGGAACACTTGATCACCATCTGGAGGAACATAAATAGTCATTTTTCTTGGTGTTCTTGTCTTGTTTGGAGTATAATTTTGTCCATAGCTCTGTTCTCTGTTACACAACCTAATGGGCTGCCTAGTGCCTTCTAAGCCAGCATCCGAACCGTCACGAAACCTCATAAGTAACTGATTTGGGACTCTGCATTGGCAGTAACTCTGCATGTAGCACTTGGCAAAGAACACTTGATTTACAATTGATTTCAATAGAGTTTGATTTTAACTTGTCGCTATTGGGAACCCATTGGGGTCAGTAAGATATTTAAATTTTTTAAAGAAATTAATACTTTTATTCTGGAGGGATGCATTAAACTGATCAAAAGTGACAGTAAAGACATCTGCAATTTTACACAAAAAAATATGCCATTCATCTTAGAATCTTAGAACCTTACCATTCATCAAAGAATCCTGAAAAAAAATCACTGTTTTCAAAAGTGTTAATAATGTTTTTTGAATAGCAAATCAGCATATTAGAATGAATTCTGAAGGATCATGTGACACTGAAGACTGGATGAATGACTGCTGAAAATGTAGCTTTGCCATCACAAGAATAAATTGCATTATGGAATATCTTACAATAGAAAAGTTATTTTACATTTTAATAATATTTCACAATATTTCTGTTTTTACTGTATTTTGACCAAATAAATGCAGCTTTTGTGAACATTTTACACTAAGCTATATTCTTAGCGCAAGGTATCTTTTACGGATCTTTGCTAATTGACAGTGTGATTTGTGCACTATTCTTTGTTGAGAACATGTCTGCTAAAAAATGCAGTATTTTTAAACTTGGTTTTCCTCAGATTTGGGGCAGTAGCATGTGGCATTGGACAAGAGCTCTACGTTTTTGGTGGCGTGCGGAACAGAGACGCCGACAATCCTGAGTCCAGTCAGATGACCATCTGCAAGTCTGAGTTCTTCCATGATGAGCTAAAAAGGTGAGCTCTTCAATGCAACACTTATACAGAGCAGGACCAATATGTATTGTGAAAATGAAAGGAAATGTGAATGCTCATGCTTGTCCTCCCTTGCCCTCAGGTGGGTGCTCTTAGATGACCAAAACCTCTGCATACAAGCCACATCATCTTTTGTGTATGGAGCCGTTCCCATTGGTGCCAGTATATATGTGGTTGGAGAACTTGACACTGGTAAGCTGATAAGGACTTATAATCGCACTTTATCCTTTATCTAGGAACGTCTTTTTTTATTCAGATATCTTCAAATTCAGTCCTTGGGAAGGTCAAAAAATGGTGCTGTGATAACTTCTTCATTCAAGCTACAACCACTGCATATTTTAACCTTTTAACATTTCAAGGGCAAAAAAACAGTAAGCACAAGCTACTTTGAAAAGTTACAAGCAACTAATGTATTATAGGTAGGTCAATTAAGTCAAGCTAACCTTTTGATTAAGTAGTTATGTACACAAAACTATTAATGTTATTAAGAAGGCATGATTTTTTGAATCGGGCTTATTGGAGTTAAAACTAAAACATAAATAACATTGAAATGAACGTTTTTATTTTAACGAGTTGTCAAGGAAACATTTATCATTTTCATTTAGTTTAACTTGATGTACTAAAATAACTAAAACTAAAACCGATAATAAAATTAATTAAAAAAAAAAAACATTTATAAAAAAAATTTATAATAGTGTCTAAATTATACTAAAATTCACTGTTTTAAATGACGAATTATGTATCAGAAGAATCAGACCAGTATTTATTTCTCTCCGAATCAATGATAATCAAAAACACACTTAATTCAACAAATGTATTGTATTACAATACAAAGTGCCACTTGTTTGATTTCTGGGAATACTACTGAATAATGAGTCAAATGAATTGAATCTTTTTATAACCAGGGTATTGATATCAACTGCTTAAATTGAACTGATTTGCTTGTTCAGTTATAATGCTCCACACACAATAAAATGTGACAAAAATTTTATTAGAGCAATATTTTGTTTGCAGGCTCCAATTTTGACTATGTCCGGGAGTTCCGCAGAAGTACGGGTACCTGGCACTCCACCAGACCCCTCATGCCCTCTGATCTGAGTAAGATCAGCTGTGCCGCCCTACGCATCGCCAACTGTAAGCTGTTCCGCCTGCAGCTGCATCAGGGACAGTTCCAGATCCGGGTTCCAGCCACATAAACAACCGGCATCCTCACCACTGACTGTATGCCAATCCCCCGTCATCTGCTGGTTTGGAGGAAGGAGGATGCAGGGGATTGTTGGATTACATTGGCTGAGGATGAGGTTTGGTTATAATGTGACAAAGCTTGAATGAATTGTCCTGTTTTTTTTATGTTTGATTCCTTTTCTTAGAGGATCAATTATACATCCTTTTTGGTCCTTTTTTTACATGACTCCAAATCACAGGAAATGTTGTTAAATTAGACGGGACCTGCTCACTATTTTACCTGCTTCTTTTGGATAGTTTACGATGTGTTTTACCTGGCAGTTGTTGTAGCTTGTTATTTGACGCAAACATTTTTGAACATTGGTGAAGGAGGTCAAAATTGCCTATTTTATACCGTCTTAAATGTGGGTTCAGTAAGGGAACAAATCAAGAACTAACCAGGACTTGTGGTATGTTAGTATCAAGCACAATTATGTTGCTAATGTAAGTGTCTCTGTAGCTACTGTACAATCATGTGTTAGATTATTCAAACAATATAAGTCTTAATATTAGACTTTTCAGAGTGATTAATTCATTCTTTTGCTGTTAATTAGATTATTATCGAATTTTAAATGTGCCTTTATGTGCATATACAGTATTTATCATTTTTAAAGTGTATATATATATATATATATATATATATATATATATATATACACACACACACACAATAATATACAAAAATACACCTACAATAAAAAATCATATACCGTGTATGTGTATATATATATATATATATATATATATATATCCTCCTGCATATGTTTGCTAAATGCCTTCTTTCTTTAAAGGCCTCTTTATTAACCTTGTCCAGGACGAATTTCAGTCTTGTTGAACTTCACTGATTAGTAAATTTAATGTTAAATTAGTTCAATGAATGCTGTTAAACATTTAATTAGTCCCAAAAGTTAGCCTTAGTTAATATGCAAATTAAGACGTGTTTTCTGATCGGAGGTTCTTGGACAAGAATATCACAAGTTTACATTTTAGACTAATTCATAAGCTGTTTATTGTCGAAGTAAAACCTGAAGGTGGTGGATCTTTGCCTTTTTATGTGTGATGGTCTTCCTGTCTACTGATCAAATTTTGCCGTTGGTCTTGTATCCTGGGACTCAAAACGCCACAGCATGTCAGAAATAGATGCAAGTTGCTGGTCTCACCCTTATGTGGTGAGATGTATTTTGTGAATGACCTCTGAACTGGCTTTCCTGTCAGTGTGGATGGTTTTGGCATCTGGTGACCCCATTTGTTCTGTGCATGATTCAGCTGCTGCTGTCTGTTCTAATTGAAGGGACGAACATTGCATATTCAGTATTCACCACCATAGAAATGCACACCAATAGCAGGAATAAATACCAGACTTTCACACACTCTAACATTTGTCCAAATTTATGAGAAAGAGGAATATAGACGAAAGAAAATATTTACAGGACCAAGATGTGGTCTCTGCACCAATGTGGTCACTAGATTGAAGATGTTCACTGACCAACAATGTTTGTGTAAGTTGTTCTTTCTGTATCATCACAAAAAGTGCTGTTGTTATTGACAACTAATACAAAAAAAATTTACTTGCAGAATGCAGAATATACCAACTATGCATGATATGTAATGTGTGTTGCTTGCCAAGATTTCACACACAATACATGCTCATGAAAATGGTCAACCCACTCACTTTATAAACATATAAACATCTATAAACATTGTCATGACTCCATTTGCACAAAACACTAAAACACTTGGTGTCTGCCAGAACGTTGTGATTAATAAAATGTTGCATAATGTTTATGCAAAGTGGTGTTCTGGTATAAAAGGGACATTTTCAATGTGGAATTTTCACACCTTTTTTTTGTGATGTTTTGGAGTGCGAGTCAGGCTTAAATTTGTCTCTAACGTACAGTAATGTTGAAATCTGCCTCGTAATAAAATCTCTTGCAGAAGTCTGTTGTTTCTTTTATGTGGTTTTTAAAACACATGAAATGGAAGAGGGAATTTAAATATATCAAAAAAGTGATATATATACACTCACCTAAAGGATTATTAGGAACACCATACTGATACTGTGTTTGACCCCCTTTCGCCTTCAGAACTGCCTTAATTCTACGTGGCATTGATTCAACAAGGTGCTGAAAGCATTCTTTAGAAATGTTGGCCCATATTGATAGGATAGCATCTTGCAGTTGATGGAGATTTGTGGGATGCACATCCAGGGCACGAAGCTCCCGTTCCACCACATCCCAAAGATGCTCTAATGGGTTGAGATCTGGTGACTGTGGGGGCCATTTTAGTACAGTGAACTCATTGTTATGTTCAAGAAACCAATTTGAAATGATTCGAGCTTTGTGACATGGTGCATTATTCTGCTGGAAGTAGCCATAAGAGGATGGGTACATGGTGGCCATAAAGGGATGGACATGGTCAGAAACAATGCTCAGGTAGGCTGTGGCATTTAAACGATGCCCAATTGGCACTAAGGGGCCTAAAGTGTGCCAAGAAAACATCCCACCACCACCACCAGCCTGCACAGTGGTAACAAGGCATGATGGATCCATGTTCTCATTCTGTTTACGCCAAATTCTGACTCTACCATCTGAATGTCTCAACAGAAATCGAGACTCATCAGACCAGGCAACATTTTTCCAGTCTTCCAATTTTGGTGAGCTCTTGCAAATTGTACCCTTTTTTTACTATTTGTAGTGGAGATGAGTGGTACCCGGTGGGGTCTTCTGCTGTTGTAGCCCATCCGCCTCAAGTTTGTGCGTGTTGTGGCTTCACAAATGCTTTGCTGCATACCTCGGTTGTAACAAGTGGTTATTTCAGTCAAAGTTGCTCTTCTATCAGCTTGAATCAGTCGGCCCATTCTCCTCTGACCTCTAGCATCAACAAGGCATTTTCGCCCACAGGACTGCCGCATACTGGATGTTTTTCCCTTTTCACACCATTCTTTGTAAACCCTAGAAATGGTTGTGCGTGAAAATCCCAGTAACTGAGCAGATTGTGAAATACTCAGACCGGCCCGTCTGGCACCAACAACCATGCCACGCTCAAAATTGCTTAAATCACCTTTCTTTCCCATTCTGACATTCAGTTTGGAGTTCAGGAGATTGTCTTGACCAGGACCACACCCCTAAATGCCATGTGATTGGTTGATTAGATAATTGCATTAATGAGAAATTGAACAGGTGTTCCTAATAATCCTTTAGGTGAGTGTGTGTATATATATATAAAAATGTTAAATGTTTGCATTGTTTAATTATCATGAAATGTCACAATTTAATTTAAAACAAATTCACATTATATGCAAATTCGCATTATATTATATGCAAAATTTTAAATTATTTACATTTTCAGTTATTTATTTATTTTTGTACAATGAGTGAAAATTACAGTGAGAATCACCTTTGAGAATGAAAATTTCTACAAAAAAGAAATACATAAACTACGTAAAACGTCTGGAGGCAGTAATGAGAATTTCTACACTGTAAAAAAAATAAGTTAACTTAAAGCTAACTTAAAAAAGGCAACCTATCGCATTCAACTTTTTAAAATAACTCAACTAATTCACAACAGTTAAAATCAACTTAAATACTTGTGTTCATCTAATGAGTACCAGGTAACTTAAAATTTCTTGTCAAGACAACTAAGAAAAACAAGTTGAAAAAAATAAGGCACCCTATTGCACTGAACTTTTCAAGTTAGCTTAACTAATTTGGTCCAGTTAAAGTCAACTTAAAAACTTTTGTTCATCTAATGAGTAAGAGGTCTTTTTAACTTCAAACGTCTTGTCAAAACAACCAAAGAATGAGTAGCAATGCAAGCAAGGGAAATGTGCTTAATTGGCATGAAAATAATGTCACAATGCCAATAGGTGTTTTTTTCATTAAAAAAGTATACATTTTATCATAATTTGATAATAGAAATGAAATAATAAAAAATACTATTTATAATACTATTTTTTCTTTTGATTTTGAGTTGAAATGTTTGTCATTCGCTCATATGGCTTAAATGCAATGCACTGCTTTCACACCAGCTCTCACATCGACACATCACTTTGAACAGTATATTCATGTTTTTTCTACTACTTCCTGTATTTAGTATTGATTCTCAGTTATACAGATTAAAAATTAGCAAGAAGCATTCCATCAAGAAGGTGAATGTGACGGTTGGTATTTGAGTGAGCATAGCACCCGTTCACTCAGTACACAAGTAATAATAACGTCTCGTAAAACTGAAACACGGCCGGGAATTTAGTCTCTTGTAAGCAAGTCTTGATTGTTGCATAACTCTGGTATGTTACCAAAGTGGATTTTTTTAGTGGTGTAATGGGTGCCATCATAAGTTGTGTCTATGAACATGTTTGGTCTCGTGTGTATGAATAAACAGTACAGGCAGGCATTGGATTAACAGTATTACTGAAGATAAACAGGATGGGGTGAATTCACTCAAACTGGGCCGCTCACATGACAGGACTTAAATTTAACCAAAGGTCTTGTGACTGTGACACTGATGGGTAGCTGGTGCTGCTCAGACAGGCATGCTGGGTCTTGCTGGACATCCTAAAGTCCTTTGTGACCTCAGACTGCAAAATATAGGAAAAGGGGCAGGTGTCGATATAAAATCAACATTGAAGTTATGTGGTTTTTAAGGTCTTAGGCTATATGTGTAATCCAGGGTTTCTTATTGTTAACTTACTAGCTAAAATCATAATAAAAAAAAAAACATTTTCATTACTTTAAATAAAATAAATATTAACAGAAATAAAATAAGTTTGCATTTTTTATATTTTATTTATTTTATCTCAAGTAATGCATTTTTTAGTGATACTTAAACTTAATAAAATGTAGAAAACTCAAAAACGCACAATGAAATTACTAAAAATGAACTGAAAATATAATTCAAAATATTAACAAAAACTATAATAGTGTATCAATAATACTAAAATAACACTGGTGTGCTCCACTTTAGTTGACAAAATTCATAAACAATGTCAACAACATGTCCAGGTTGCGTTTCACCCCAAAATATTTTGTTTTGCTTTGTTTTATTATTTATTTATTTTAAGAAAACAAAACTATTTTGGATTTATTTTTATGTCCAGGTCACATTTCACCCCAAAATGTGTTATTTTATTTTTATTTTATTTTATTCTTTTCTTTATTTTATTTTATTTTTAGAAAACAAAACTATGTTGAGTCTATTTTGGATTTTATTTTTTTTTTGAATTATGACATTATCTGATAAACACATCTCACCCAATTCTAGGGTAATATTTCTCAAATTATCTACTTTTGTGTTCCACAGAAGAAAGAAAGTCATATAAATTTGAATCGACATGAGGGAAAGTAAATGATGAGAGAAAGTTCATTTTTGGGAGAACTATCTCTTTCATACTCGTTTAAAACCCATTAATCTCATGGCATTATTTATGCAATTGTAATTGCAGTATAAATTCATTCATGCCACTTCTGAGCTGCAATAAACATCTGTAAATATACCTTTAGATTTTTCAGAGATCTTTAGACAGTTCAGA